GCGCAGGCCCCCGAGTCAATCTGGTACCTACAACGGGTCCCATGTATCCTATGTAGCCTTGGATATCCCAGCATTCATTGCGAGACCCAGCAAGCCGGCTGCTCCGTGATCAGAGGAAAAAGGGAAACGGCGCCGAACAGTGGTGAATATTGGAACTTCAGTTTAATATAATCCAAGTCTGTTAATAGTTCCGTCTGAAATGAATGAAAACAGTTGTTTTAATGGTCATTGAATCAGATATGTGGCGGTAATGTTTTTTTTTTTATCTGTTACTGTGTAAATGGGTTTGGCTGTAATTTAAGGACAGATTTATAATATTTTTGCAGTGTGGGGACTATTAATCTGATAGGATTTTTATTTTTGAATTGCTATTTTGCACAATTTGCTTTACTAAGTAATATTTGTTGTTGAATATAACAGATATACTTTTTATACATGTATTGTTTAGATTTACTTATATCTGTCTACCCATTTCATAGAATAGAATAGAAAATCCCTTTATTGTCCCACAAAATTCTGGTGTTTACAGCAGCAAAAAGATTATAAACAAAAAGTGGTCACACCAACCTTATTTTTTGATGTTGAACATAAGAGATTTTGCAGATATATTTTTATACACACATTGTTTAGATTTCCTTATATCTTTCTACGCCTTTTATATCATTACATTAGCTTTTATTTGTTCCTGCTCCCGGTTGTTGGCACCTTTACGTTTTTGTTTACTTTACAATAAAAAGTTATAATAATAAAAAAAGAAACAGTTTTGAAAAGTTCCGTATTCATTCTTTTCCTGCTTTTTTGTGTCAACTGTCACGGTTGCTAAGCGACAGAGGGTACAGTGGTGAAAGCCTTAGAAGGCTAGCTTAGATTCACAGCCAAAACTCTTCCGGTCTCCTTATTTCCACGGACTTTGAAGGATCCAGTCCAGGTAGACCGCGTCCTTAGAGGATTCAGCCCATGAATTCGAACGCAGCCCATAGATTCGAATTCAAAGAGCAAATCTGAGAGCAAAAAGCTGATGTGTTGTAATGCCTCTATCTATCCACTAGGTGTCACCATTGCAGCGGTAACGGGTGATCGAGAGAACTGAAACTTTCAGGGTTGAAGTTCAGCTTTTCTGGGTGATAAATCATCAGTTATCTCTTCTGATACATTTTCTTTTTTATCTTAGCACTTGAAATACGGACTTTCATAAAAGCCAAGGTTTGTTTTTAATCTGTATTCCATAATTTGTGTGTTTTTCCTTCTGAGTTATCTTCTGCATAAAAATGTCAGATTAGTACAATTACCTGTTATTTTTTGTACACTAAAGAGCATATCGTTCAAAATAAGGAACTCTCTGGCTATTTTTTGCTGCTAATTATTTTTTATTTATATTCCCGATGCCTCAGCGTCTGGATTTACCGCTTCATCTGCTAAAGCAGCTGGAAAACTACTATTTTTAATAAGTTGATATAAAATATATTCACATTATTAGGCATGCAAACACATGACGGTGTTCCCTTTACGCACAGGCGCGTCAGCGCATGGCTGAGATGGTGAGCACATACCTGCGCGCGGCTAATGACCACATCTATATTCTGCAAAGCGCTCTTGCGGCTGCCGTGCAGTTAGTAAATCAGTGAATTAACATGGCTGGAACATCGGGCTCAGCTTCTGACATCTCCGCTTTTGGACACTGAGGCGGTGATATTTGGACTAACGGGGCCTCTGTGTGTGTTGATGCTAAATATAAAGCCCCCCCTCCGCCCCCAGAGGCCCGCAGAGTTCATATCAACCCGGGCGGACAGATCCTGGCGAAGGCCGCAATCAAACAAATGTGCTGAATGATGGCTATGGACGTGTGTGTGTGTGTGAGAGAGAGAGACATTTTATCCCCCGTTGCTTTTATTTATCACCATTTATTGTGTCGTGTAATGGCAGGGTGCTCACATTTCTCTCCCACAGCAGGAGACATAAATAAACAGCTCCAGAGCATCAATGATGGGATGATTGTTGGAGTTTGGTGTCCAACCTTGACCGTTTATGGCACATTTTTCTCAGACTCTGCAGAGAAAAGAGCAACATCTGAGCTGGAAACACATTAATGTAAAAAAATGCCCCCAAATTTACATTTTATGAGGTAGACTTTCATCTTATCCCCTGTCTTCATGTGTTTTTATTTTATTTTATACTAAAGTACACTGAAAAAAATACCATTTACTTAATCGTATTTAGTTACTTTAGCAGGTTAGGACATAAAACAATTTTGTTAAAGTAACTAAATATGATTAAGTAAATTTCAAAAGTGGTTGTATTATTTTTTTCAGTGCAATGGGAACTTTTTTTAAAGAAGCACTTTATTATTATTTTAGAATGTACTTAACATATTAACATACTTTACATAACTATATTTGGACAACGAGTTTAATGATAATTAAATTATCTAAAATTAACTCTAATAGGCAAATGAGGGGAGGTTTTAATTCAACTTGTAAAGCTGTTTTTATTTTTTATATACATATATTTAGTTGATAACCTACTTCTGAGAACAAAATATAACATTTAAAATAAGCTAAAATAAGAAAAAAAACATTCAATTGAAATGATTCCTCTGCTAAATATTTTTTTTTTTTTTATCTCTGAACCAAATTTTATTCATTTCGTCCTGAAAACAGCTGGTGAAATTTGTAATATTTTAATTTAATATCAAACAGGTGTGAATAATCTCAGTTGGAACCACGGCTAACATGGAGTTAGGATAAGAAACTCCGCTTGCTAAACCAGGTTTAGCCCAAAGTTATAATAAAGATCTAGTTAAATGATCTGACTTTAGTGGTAATGAAAATAAAACATACTATATGCTCAGAAGTTAGTGTTTAACACCAAACAAATATACAATTTTTGTCTGTTAGCATTAGCCGTCCCTGGATTAATGAAAATGAAAGCCTGCTAGCGATTTTAGCTTTAGCATTAGCGATGTAGTTAAACCAGCAAGGACACAAAGGGGTAGAAAGAGAATTAATATACATATTAATACATATTATGAACTTTTATAGATAATAACATATGGGATTTCTCATTTATTAATGTATTAGCTATATAAACTTTAGCATTAGCGCTGTAGCTAAATTAGCCTAGCTAAAACTGACCAATCTTGAATCCATGCCCAACACTTTATCAGTTTTTAAGGTTTATTCTGATCATATTCATTATTAATAAAACCTAAATAGGTTTCAGTCTTAAAAGCCACATAAGATGAATGAAAATAAAGGTCAGCTAAGCTAAAATCAGGAACTAAATTCTCATCCAAGTGTTTAGATTAGTTTTGAACCATTGTTAATGTTTACATTTAATGCTCGGTTAAAATTGAAATAGTTTAACTTGCTTATATTTGATATTGTTTCATGTTCCTTTTTTTACAGTGAAACCAGGTCCAGCCTGCTTTCTGGTGTTTTAATGCTCTCACATGTGAACCAGTGTGCAGCATCACACCTCAGTGAACAAACATGCAAATGTTGCTGCTTGTTTTTCAGCACTCTCTTTCAAAGCTTGATGTTTAGACTTTGGAAACATTTTTTTTACACAGTTTAGTCCATAATCCTCGTATTTATGCTGGATTTATCACATACTGTCTCGCATGAATTATATGGAATACATCTGATCTGATTTCAAATGGATGGGCTGAAAGGAAAAGAAAATATGTGCAGCGATTGGCAGGATCTGAAACTTTTCTTAAGCTTCTAATCTGCCAGAGTTGATACTCTCACTGAGCATTTGGACTGCTCCACACAGCTTATTGAGAGAAACATAACACTGCATTTGTTTCTTGTTTTTCTTAGAAATCATATGCATAAAATGGTTTATCCTCATTTGATCTAATTTATGAACACCTTTAATTAAATGTGGGAACAAGCAGTTCGTTAACTCATCATCCTGCACTGCAAAAATTGAAATCTAGTAATTATTTCTTACATTAAGGGTATTGTTTCTTGAATTGAGGAGGTTGGAGAGATCTTTTGCCAACAGAATAAGAAGGTTTACATTTAAAATAAGAAAAATAATTAAATTATCTTATTTTAAGAGTAAAAATACCAATTCCATTGGCAAAACATCTTATTTACCTAATTGAATTAAGGGTAAATACACTTAATTTAAGATATTCTTACTTATTTCTAGATCCTTTTTGCAGTGTGTAGACTTTCTTATAAAATGAGGAAACAAAACATTCATATTTTTAATATAATTAATTGGCCTTGGCACTGTAAACCTACTCAAAACGCGTATGGGTACTGATTATCTCAGATTTTTTGCGCAAGTTATAATATTTAAGTTTGAAGTATGTATATATTTTACAGTATTTACAGCATGATGTAAAAAATATAAGTAATTCAAGCTTAAATGTGTTAATATACTCAGAAACCTTAGTTAATCGCTCACTAAAGTGGAGGATTCTGAGCTGTTTGGGTGAAAAGACGCTCCAAGGATCTGCTCCGCTTCTCCCTCAGTGTGAACGCTGCAGGGATTAAACCGATTTCCTCATGAGTTGGTGTTTAGATTCAGTCCTGAATGGTTGCTGTAAAGTAAAAGACTTGCGCGCCCAGAGACATGCGCTGCTTCGGGCTTTAAGTAGCTGGGGCGGGACGCCGCGCGGAGCGAGGCGGGGACAGGGCGCGCTCCGGTCGGGTTGGTGGACAGCAGATTGTCCGTATCATTAACTCACTTCAGGAGGGGGGGGGCGTTCCCAGAGACCACGCCTCCTTCACCTACTATAGTTCCTCCTGTTTGGCATCCCAGAGAGGGTCCGAAGTGATTCCTCAGGGGAAGCGAGAAGAGCGCAAATCATCCGAGCAGGAGCGGGAGCCGCGCGGATACCCAGGACTGCCTTCTTAATTGCGCGTAATCTTCCGTTTCATCCATCTGAGCAGGAAGGAGCACTTTTTCTCTTTCTTTTAAAGAAACGGAGCAGAAAGAAACCCCGATTCATCTCCTTTTCTTTTTTGCCCGTTTGTTCCAAAAGCTGACATTTTCTGCTTGTATTTTTGTTTTGTCTTTTTGTCACCTGTACCTTGATCCGTGGAGGGGGAGACTGTCGCCGACTCAGCGCGCACTCTCATCCTGCGCTCCCCCCTCACCTCCTCCTCCTCTTTCATCGCTTCTCTTCACAGCTGCTGCCTCCCATTCTTCCCTCGACATGAGGAGCAGCTAACCCTGGATGCTGACAGCTCCCCTTTTTCTTCCCACATGTCGCATCTTTTGTTTACTTTGAGAAGAATGAGCGCATCTAAACAGAAAGTGGAATAGACCCACGCCACTTTGCTCCTGTGACAGCGCTATCAAAGAGAGACGCCGAGAGGAGAGGAGGGGAGGAAGAGAAGAGAGGGGAAAGGAGGAGAGAGAGAGAAAGAGAGAGAGAGACGGAGTGAAGGTGCGTTTTGATGTTTGGCATCCACGAGAGCATCCAGAGGAGTGGGAGTAGTATGAAAGAAGAGCCCATGGTGGCCGGGATGAACGCGGTTCGCACATGGATGCAGGGCGCCGGAGTGCTGGACGCAAACACAGCCGCCCAGAGGTGAGCTTGAGGCGGATGAAGCGCTGCGCTGCGCTGCGCTGCGCTCCTCCACCGCGGCGCGCGGAGAGGAAAAGCGCGTTCAGATATGCGGCGTTTAAAGACGGAGCGGCGGATTCACTGGGGGCCAGGAAGGCGTCCCCAGAGGACCCGGCGGTGGGATCACCTCACGTCCCGCCGGAATCTCAACTTCTTGTTTTTTTATTTTTTTATTTTTAACTTGAATCCAACTCGCGGTTTTAAAGCTGCTGGAGATTTCAGACATTTTAAGGCGTCTTTGGCCCAAAGTTCCTGCTGTGAAAAAGTCAGCAGTGAGTTTTTGCGCTTGGACTCTCAGTTCGCAGTGATTTGTTTATTTTTCGGGTTTTGGTTTAGCAGCTTTTCTTTTTTTTTTTAAACATGTCCGAATTATTTCGATTTATTTAAATCAAATTCTTCAAGATGAAAAAGAAAATGTATCGCAGGCCGATCATGCTGACTTTTATAAATTATGACCAACATAGCAAATATGTTAAACCATAATAATTAAAAACTTGATGTTATTTGTTGATTTGTGGTTAATTGATTAAATTAAAATGCGCAAATTAGTCCTTTGAGTTTGGACGCAGATTTGGGGGAAAAAAAGCAGCAGCGTGTGTTTATTATTTTATTATTTCCTTTCCTCTTCCCTGCCTTCCTTGTTTCTGGTTTCTTTGCTTTATTGACTTTCATTTGTTTGTGTCCGCAGCGGAGTGGGTCTCGCTCGGGCGCACTTCGAGAAGCAGCCGCCCTCCAACCTCCGCAAGTCCAACTTCTTCCACTTCGTCCTGGCTTTGTACGACAGGCAGGGTCAGCCGGTGGAGATAGAGAGAACCACATTTGTCGACTTTGTGGAGAAAGAAAAGGTGGGTTTTTATTTTTTATTTCTTACTAAAATCATCAAAGTTGTGCAGCTTCTTATAATCCTTTTTTATTTCTTTTTTTTCTCCTTTTAATCGCCCATATAATAATAATAAACGATGCGCCTCATCTGCAGGACTAATTCCTGACGCGATATAAAAGCTGTTAAGTCAAAGTGATGAATTAGCCGCCGCGCTAACAGAGGCAGACGCACAGCAGGGATCAATTCCTGCTCAAATCTTTTCCCATTCATGTAGTTTTTAGTTGCTGCTTCCCAAAGCGCATCCGACCTCTAATCATTATTCTTGATGGTTTTATTCAATTTTAATGCATTTCTTTAATATTCTGGATTTATTTTTCCAGTGTGGGAACTTTGGACTCAGTTTCCGCTCCTGGTGGATTTATTCTAACATCTCTAATCAACTTCTAAACATCAGGTTTTTTTTTTTTAAAGCGTGTCCGATGTTAACTTGAACACATAATTTAAT